TTTTTGGTATCTACACAGAATCAAGGCAGTAGCAGCCTATTAGAAGTTTTCCCTGAAAACTAGGGAACCCAGGGAAAACCAAAGTCACTGCATGGCTGGAGCATGTTTATTTAAAATAATGGTGAGGATGAGAACAACGTGGATGTTGTGGTTCTGTGCAGCTGAAGGAAGGGGCTGGCGCTCACGCTCATGAGCACTTCACCTGGTTTTCAGGGCACTCCTGAGCCAATCTGTCCCTTCACAACTGCCTACACAGCACGTCCAGGGCTGCAGCCTCCCTAGGTGCTGCAACATCAGAGCCAGATATAGACAGTGCCCCAGAGAAGGAGGAATAGGGACAGGCAGGGAGCAGAGCCCCATCCCCCTCATCAATCACCATTACCTAATACCAGTGCCGCCTCCTTGCCGTGCTGCTCCTCTTTCCCATGGCCCATCAAGCAGTCAACGATGCTCTGCAGGAGGTTGCAGACAGCCAGGGAGATTTCTTCGTTGTCTGTCGACATCCACATACAAATGCTGTCGATGCCCAGGTAATGGAGAATTGCAGTGGCCTGGCCCGGGAGGGAGAGCAGAGTAGCTGTTAGCGTGGGATATAAGCTGATACTTCCAGTGTGGTTTAAACAAGTCAAGTATTTTCCTGTGCGAACTCTGTGTCTGTATGGGGAGTTTTGCCTATCAATCATTTTAATTTCTAGTCAAACAATTAAAATACAGAATTGATGGTTAGAATGTGCTATTTCAGCCAGATTGAGAGAGCATAGTAAGATTTTGACGAGGCTTTGGCACGAGGTCTGTTACCACTGAAGAGCCTGTTTACACAAGAACCCCATCCCCATGCAGCAAACCCAGGGTCATCCTGCAGTGCATCCCTATGCATAGTGGTGCATCCGTGGCTCCTGTGGCTGTGATCTTCCATTCCCACCATTGCACAGAAATGGCAGTGAAAGTCCTATAAGGGCCCCGTTGCTTACCCGAGCTTGATGTCCCATGCACATGCCGGAAAGCGTCCTCACAGCTGCCAGGATCATCTCAGGGTCTTTGGTTTGTATTAGCTGCAGCAGCAAGTGGACCCCGTTGTTTTGGAATATCCTCTCTGCTCCCGCTTCCTCCCGCCCGAGGACTATGAGGTTGTTGGCAGCCTAGAGGAGACAGCAACCAGGAATTAACAGCACCGCTCTGCTGGCAGCCTCCAAAATGCATCAGTGCAGCCTGACACTTGGCAGTGCCTCTGGCATGAACAGGCATTTTGTCAAATCTGGGACAGTTCTCACCTTTTCACGCTTTTCTTTTTCACTGTTCTCATCCAGCAGAATTTCAAACATCTTCTGCACCCGCAAGTCAGTGGAGAACTGAATGCGCAGCTGTAACAACACAGGAAGCCAGAGGGGCAGAATATCTAGGGACAATCTTCCTATATCACTCCAAGGAAACCACAGACCTCAAAAACTGCAGGCAATCCAGGCTGCCCAACAAAACTTCACTGCCCCAGTAGTAATATCACCCATCTCCAAGACACAGGACCTGGCTGCCACACTTAACCAAACCATTGAATCAGATCCTCAAGATTTACATGCTTCAGGCAGGAAACTTCCAGTTAGCAGAGCCTATTTATCACATTATTAAAATAATTCAGTATGACCAATAATCTTTGCTGTATCCCAGAGCAAGGATTTTCCTCATGTCCCACACCTGCTTTTCTGGCGTGCAGCATTTACCTTCTCCTGGATGTCAGCTCCGAGTCGCCTCAGGGTCTCCTGGAAGTTTTTGTTGTGGGGCTCCATGGTGGCACATTTCTGAGCATCTTTGAACGCTTGGTCCAACTTTCCCAACTTTTCCAGAGCCTGGCTGCGCCGGAACAAGGCTTTGATATCTGAAGCATTGATATCAATAGCTAGGGAAGTGATGCAAGAGAGCAGATATCAGAGTTTGGTTCCTGAGAGTTTCCTATGTAAACAGTTATTTGATTCACATCACACCAAATACTGTTCCTTGGGACATGGCTGTCAGATTGGACCCCCTGGCTTCAGGCGCCTGTGTCCCTGCAGTGCAGCAACTCCCAGCCTGCAGCACTGGAAGCCTCTGCGATGGCCAGTATCAGCTTTAAGCTCTAACAGGAAGAAATGCACAAATGCAGACAGAAAAGGTATCAAGGCAACAGCCAAGAAAGATCATTAGGAGCATCCAAGTCACCGTGTCTCTGCTGTGACACTAAAAGGGAATATTGGACTTTCAGGCCTCCAGGGCCCCCAGTTCACTTTTCCTCCTTTTCCCCTCCTAGTTTGCTCACAGATTGATCAAAAAAGAGCTCAGCAAGATCCAACAGTAGCAGCTTTCATGAGACTGGTTTTGTTTGGCTGTATGTACACACAGCATGCCGCTTTCCCCCTCACCCCAGCATCCTGCACCAGTCTCGTAGGGGAGAGGCTCAGAGAGCAATGTTTGTCCTTAAATTGGGAGAGAACAACCCCTTTACTCAGTTCTTTGTGAACACTGCATTTTCAGGCCACTGTGAACATACAAGCAAACATATCTGTAGCTGAATCAGGAACAAATGCCAAGCTCTACAAACACAGCCAGCATAAGCACATGATCTCTGCATCTTCTCTCAATTTCTCTGTGGTCTCCGAGCAAGATACCACCGTCCGGAGCAAACGCAGCCAGCAACATGGCTCATTCCTGCAAACACCCCCCTTACCTCGAGACGCGTCCGAGGCTGCCTTGCGGTATTCCTCCTATGGAATCAGGAAGGAAGGGCAATTTGTTAGCAGGGCAGCCAATTAGCAGGATGCATCCATATCACTGATGTACATGCCCACCTCTATTTCCACTTACTGGCCTGATACCATGAAAACAAAAAAAACCCACATTTTTTCAGGAGCACACAAGTGATCTGAAATGCTCCAGCAGGTCTGCAGGGAGCTAAGAGGGTTTTACTGCAGATGCAATAAGTTTTCCCACTAGTAACTGTGCCCGTCTTAGGAGCCCCGCACTCACCTTCTTCAGGAAACATGCTGCCCTGTTCCTGTACAGCACGGCCTGCAGCGCCCTGTCCTTGTTGAGCTTCAGAGCCTGCGTGTAGCTTTGCAGAGCTTTCTCATAGTCACTGGCCTGGAAGTATTTATTGCCTTCCTCTTTCAGCTGGATGGGATCCTCCATCTGGGGAGGAGAGGAGGAAAGGATGCAAATTTTAGCCTGCCTGGGAGCATTAAGGAAAACATCCCCCCGGGCAAATAGCACCTTCAGATCAAGCAACACTCTGGCCCCATCATTAATACCAGTAAATAAAAGCAGTTTACCAGGCTGAAGTGTTCGAAAAAAACAAGGCCCAAAATGCTCCTCAAAGCTGTGACTTCTCCAAAGATTTTCCCAGTGTTGCAGATCTTCAGTGCTCAATAACGGCAATTAATAAAAGAGAAAATCCGAAGTTCAGCAAGTCAGCCAAGCCACAGCAGGTCTGGGCAGCTGGGGAAGGGCCCGTCTCCCTCTCCTCCCGCTCCAAGTTTGGGCAGGACCCAGTGGCTCCTGGGGCCTGTCAGTGTCACCTGTCACCACAGCCTGTCCCCACCCCTTATATATTGTGTCCCAGCGGGGCTGTGCGCCAGGGTCTCCATCACCGTGTCCGCTCCAAGGGGAACCTGCCCATGGGAAATCTGTCCCTGTCACTGAGCCAAAGGTACCTGCAGAGCAGCATGGGGCAAGGGGTGCAGGAAGGGGGGCTCCATGCCAAAAAAAGCCCCCAAATGGGATAGTTGACCCCTGGTCCAGTGCTGGGAGCCTTTTTCTGTTCTATTTAAGGAAGCAGGAGACAGCTGAGCTGCTAGAGCAAGTGGCCCCATGCTGGCAGCTGCGGCAGCCGCCGGCACCTTCCAGAAGGCGCTGGGAACTAAAGCCCACACGCAGCCCGGGCTGCCTCCTGCCCCCTCCACAGCACAGCCCCACGCAAAGGTCTAGACCAGAGCGCATTAGCCCACTGCTGCAACAAGAGCACCAGGTCTCAATAGCAGCAACACTAGTTAGAAGAGGGAAGTGCCCAACACCTTCAGCACAGAACTTACCCTCTCAAAGCTGCATATTTCCTAAGCCACAGAGCATTAGGAATTTGGCTTTGCCAGCTGATCCCCCCCACAATGCAGCTCCTGAGCATGTCTGCTAGTGTCCTGGCTATGAAACACAGCGGTAAAAACCACAAGGATGGGATTCACACACGGAGAGCAGAGGCAGGTTTGCATTGCGGAGCTCTGCCAGACCACATGTTGCCATGCTAGGGCCTTATTGAGAGAAGAAATAGGTTATTCTGAGGGGAGAAGAAAAAAAAATTACACAAAGGGGGTTACAGCAGTTGCACAGGAGCAATGCACAGAGGAAAAATTCTAGGAGCCTTGCTAGGAAAAAGCAAAAAGTGTTTTTTTTCCCTTCTAGAGAGACCTGTGACTCAGGGGATAAGATGAGAGCAGCAGCCTCCCCGTGGGCAAATCCCTGCTTGGAAGAGGTACTCCTGACCAGGCAGTGCTGGATAAAGGAGTGTGGAGCCCTCCCAGCCCCAGGAGCCCTAGCAGAGCCAGAGGCAGCTCCAGAAGGGAGCCCTCCCTAAGGGCACGAGCAGCTCTGCAAGGCAGGACTGTGCTAACAAGGCTTTTGCTTCTGACCTTTCTTTAAGTCAGGCTCTACCTTTAAATTACTTTTTATACACACTAGCTTTACTCACACTGCTTTCCAAAACACCCCTACCAACACCTACCCCCAAAACATTCCCTCTAAGAACATGAAGGGAGGAGAGCAAGGGCAGGGCTACGGCTGCTTGTGTGTTTATAGTGCCGGGGATGGTCATGTTTGTCAGCTGCGCGGGGGCGCGAGCTGCAGGTGACTCCGCTCCCCTGCCCCGCCACGCTATTTAAGGCGATTTCCGCCGTTTTGGCTCTTTTTAGGTGTGTTTCTTCTTCCCTAGCAGCCGCTAGAGGGAGCGGGGCGGGCGGCAGGAAGGGGCGGCCGCGGCGGCGGCCATGGCGCTGCTGCGGCCCGGGCTCTGCGCCGGCCTCACGGCCGAGATGGCGCCGCTGCTGCGGGCGAGCGGGCTGCGCACGGGTGAGGGGCCGGGGGCGGCCGGCGCCTCCTGGGCAGCGGGCCGGGGGCTCCGCGGGACTGGATGTAGGGCTGAGGGAGTCACGCACTTTAATGGCCTTAAATAGAGCTTTTTAGGCGAAAAATTCCATGGGTGCAAAAGCCAAGGGTGTTGCCATCTTCTTTTTCCCCTCAGAAAAAAAATGCTTCTTGTGTTTTTTTAAGCATATAATGCACCTGAAAAGCCTTAACCCCTCAGAGTGGCCTCCAAGGCAGAAATGGAGCCAGTGTTCTTTCTCTTTTCTGTGTTTTTCCCTTTTCTGTGTGTCCCAGGCTGGCACTCTGAGGCATTAGCCCCTTGCAGTGGCTGCTGGTGCCTGGAGCTCCCTCGGGGGACCCTGGGCAGCCCCGGAGCAGAGCTAGGGGGTATTTAGTACTAGCCTGACCCTGGTGACTTTTGTGATGGAGTTGATGGATTTCAGGTGAAGCCAGGGCCATCTCAGAGGAAAGAATCAGGGTTCTGCTTTGTGGGGCAGCCTGTTCACCTCCTTGGCCCAGGAACATTTTACTTATCAGTGCATAAAGGCAGAATTTGTCCTTTGTCACAGGGTGGTATTTCTGGCAGGAGGGGTAAGCTGTTTGGTGTTCATGGTCTACCAAAGCTTGGCTTTGCAATTCTCCTCCCTTGTGTATCTGCAGTGGTGGACTTTGTCTCGTCAGACCTGGAGGACGTTGCACAGAAGTGTTCCCTGTCTTACAAGGTAAAGGCAAACTCATGGTCCTCTAGTGTGAATCTGGGAGCTGTTCAGGTCTGTGTTTGGATGGACTCATCCATGGGGACCACTTTTGGAGCAGACATTGGTGGCTGCAGTTGAGCTTGCAGTATGCTTCATGGCCTCTCTGGCTGTCCTCTATGTCACAGGTGTCTTTACTTGGCTCTGTGGTGGCCAGTCTTGTGCTGAGTGTTCAAAATCTTAGTACTGTAATTAAAAGATCAAGCTGTGAATGAGGACTATGCTATTAGCACCCTGTATTGCCTGGGCTATTGGGGTCCACAGTTGCCCAGGGCAGTGGAGACCTTTTCTTCGCTGTTTTTGTGACAGCCTAACTCAAGGCTCCCTCAGCCGCCTTTTCAGACAGCTCTTTGCCTGCCAGGCCCTGGTTGCTGTGAGACGTGTGCTCCTGGCCCAGTTCTCAGCCTTCCCTGCCAATGGAGCAGACCTCTATGAGGAGCTCAAGAGTTCTACAGCCATCCTGTCCACAGGAATCTCAAGGTGGGTACGTTGCGCAGGCCACTCTGACCACGGGAAGCTCTCTGCAGAAAGTCCGGTGTCTGGGGGTCACCATGGTGGGACCTCAAGTGTTGTGTGGCATGAGTTGGAATGAGTAGAGTGCACCTGGGGCACTGCAGGTAGTGCTTCCTTGTAGCAGTGCTGTTGCTCTCTTGGGGGCTGCTGCAGCTCTCCTGCCCACGGTCATACTCTCTTCTCCATCTCAAAGCCCTCTTTTAATATGAGAGCAGGAGTAGAGACATTTATTCTTTATGGCTTTCCTGAACTGTGGCTGGAGTTCCCAACCCAGCCTGTTTGTGCTCCTTCAGGGAAGGGCATTGCTGTCACTCTTCCAAAATGGGAATCGGTTAATGTGTATGACTTTGAGGCTGGACTACGTGTTCCCTTCAGCATTTCCTTAGAGCTTCAGAGATGTGGGTTATGGGTCTGGGAGGGGAGCTGAGTGATGATGGTCCAAACTATCTAGATCAGTCATAGAAATAAGACTGTGTAGAGAAATCCTGTATATTCACATCTCAAGAGCTTCCAGATCACAGTTCTCCAACACTGTCCTCTTACCTGCCATACTGCAGATCTGCTGCTGTTCTCCAGAATTTGCAGAGAACAGGGGTTGGAAGGGGCAAAGTCTGAGACACTTGTCTGCAGTTGGAAAGGGACCTCTAGGGACAGATATCCAGGAAGTGCTGCTTTGTAATGCCCTTCTCACTGGAGGTGTCTAGATAATCCCACCTGTTTATTCAACTCTTAGCTTGGATAAACTGCTGGACTCTGGGCTGTACACAGGGGAAGTGACGGAGATCATGGGAGTGCCTGGCAGTGGGAAGACACAGGTGAGCGGGATGGGTGTAGATAAAAGCAAAGCACTGTGGAAAACAGGCTGTGGGCAAACACTGGCCTCATTTCCTTTGTTGGCCTTCAGCCTTTTGCAGAGCTCGGGGAAGCCCTAGCATGAGCTTCTGCTGGTCCTCTCTTTTTTGGGATCATCAGGAAAACCTGCAGCTGGGGCCAGAGGACCCTGGGAGCTCCTGGTCCCCCATGGGAAGCTGGTGGGTGAAGGACCAGTGCCCAGCCCTGTCTTTCCTAGGTGTGCCTCAGCATCGCAGCCAGCGTGTCCCTTGGCCTCAAGCAACACGTTCTGTTTCTTGACTCCACGGGGGGATTCACAGCCTCCCGCCTCCACCAGATGCTTCAAGCAGAAGCAGAGGACGAGGAAGAACAGGCAAGTTCACTGCAGAGCAGGTCAGGCTGGTCCTTAACAGCTAGCGTTGGCCTTGCTGGGTGCTTGCCAACTCCTAGAGCCAGTTTCTCTGGGTCGCCTGGGCTCTTCCTCCCACGGGCTGGGGGAGCTGGACTCAGGGTTAGGTGGCACCATGCTGCTTTTCCTGTGGAGAGGTCACTGTGGTTGTCCAAGCTCCGGCTCATTGACCTCACTGTTTCAATTCTTCCATTGGTGAAATGAGGACAGCAGTTGGGGAAAGAAAGAAGGGTGCTTGTTCCTTACAGCATGGTATAAATACAAAGAGCTTTTAGTGTCCTGAGGGCAGGAGGGATATGACTTGTGGATCAGTAGAAAGGGGCACCTGTGGTCCTGGGATGTATAGCTGTGGTGCCAAATTCTGGAGGATGGGAGGCTTTTGGTAAGCTTGTTGTTTTTTGCTGCAGCTGGAGGCTCTGCAGAGGGTTCAGGTGGCTCGAGTGTTCAACATCTATGAAATGCTGGGAGCCTTGCAGGAGCTTCGGGACAGCTTTTCCCAGCAGGTAGGACCAAGACTTTGGGTCTTTCTCTTCCTCCTTTGCCCTTGGCTGTCTGGAGCAGCAAGGGAGGCAGCAGACCCTGGACTTCTGTGCAGTGACTTATACTGGGTCTGGTGTTGAGTCTGTGTGGCTCGAGAACCTCCAAAACTGCTTTATTTATCTAGTGTTACCCTGCATGGCATGTGGTGCCTTTTTCCTTCAGGTTATGAGCTGCATGGGGCCTCTCAAGGTTGTGCTGATCGACTCGGTTTCAGCTGTGATTTACCCGCTGCTGGGGGGCAAACAGTCAGAGGGTGAGTGCGCTGTGGTAGGGGCTGGAGGGTGACACCAAGGCACTGCTGCTGGTTCTGTGGATCTGCAGTGAGGTTACAGACCTTCTGCTCTTACTGAAGAGCATTTTCCTGTGTGACCTCATGCTTGGAGCAAGGGGCAGGCTTGACACAGGTGCAGTTATTCTAGCTTTTCTTTTGTGATCAGCAAAAGAGGAGTCTGCCTTCAATATTACTGTGAAAATTCAAGCAGGCTTTTGCATTGCGGGCTCAGGTCAGTGTCCTGAAACCTATCAGTATACAGAGGAGGCACTGAGCTCACTTGCTTGCATTTACTTGCTGAGTAAATTATCTGTTTACAGTGTACCAGATGTAAAATATGTCAGCAACAAAGATGCACGACTTCCCTAGGCTGTTCCTGATAAAAAGGTTTATAAATTGGGAGGGAAGAGCTCTCTGCTAAGCATCACCCACCTCTGAGGTGGCCCTGGGGACTTAGGGGGCTGCTCCCTCTGTGTTGATCCCACCAAACTGAAAAATACCCCCTTTTGCTGCAGGCTTGGCCCTCATGATGCAGCTGGCCAGGGAGCTGAAGATGCTGGCCAGGGAGTTCAGCCTTGCAGTTGTGGTGAGTGTCACTGTGCCTTGCCCCTTGGGTGCTGGTGTGTGCTGTGGTGAGGAGTCCTGCAGTCATTTTGGAGCACCCAAGGGTGCTACTTGCAGCTGAGACCTTGCAGAGCTCTGTTCCCATGCCTGTTTGCTGATGTAGCTCTGATGCTCTGCAGCCACAGATTTCCTGTTGCAGCAACCAAGGAGCGAGAGAAGGGCTGGTTGGCTTTTGGTTGACTTTTCTTTTTAATTGTTGTCTGCAGTCAATGAGTCATTTGCTTGATGGAGCAAAGTAGAGCTAAGTACAAACAGACCAAAAGGCTCCTTGTATTTATTTTTTGATATAGCACCAGCTGTAGATTCATAGATCATTTAGGGGCCTGGCTAGCTGTCTAAATAGCCTCTTATTTAGTTACTTTGGAGTAACTGCATCATATGGAAAGTGATGGCGACTGGAAAGCTGTGCTGGGCTCTCCAGCTCTTGGATGAGTAATTGCATTTGCTTTGGTGCTCCTGGACTGGATGCTGTGACCGCAATGTACTTAAATTGGAAGGGCCAGAAGGGAAGATGGATGTGCTGAACCTGGCGCTGGAAGGCACTGGGGGAGCCCTGCCCTTTGCTGTTCTGAGTTGGAATAAAGCAACAGGGAAGGTTGCTTGAGGTTCAGAGTTAAACTTTGCAGGAGGCATCAGGACTGGAAATCACTGCAGCCTGCAGGAATGAGTGAGCTCAGCATGAACCTGTGTGCTTCCTGGCTCTGCTGGGGTCCTTCAGGCTAAAGAGCTGCTCTTCTCAAGGGGGAGCTGTTCTTGCACTCCTTGTGTTAAGCAATTAGCTAGGAAATAGTAGTTGGTTTCTATATATGCACATGTGATGCAGTTGTGTGTTGTGTTTACAAGGGTGGCATGATTATGCTGGGGTGGGGGGACAGGAAGAAGAGGAAAAAGGTTTGCAGAAGTAGCAGATTGTGGCTCTTATCTCCCAGTGATCTGCTGTGTTCCGTTACTGCGAGCGGCACCGTTTTCCCTGGGTGCTGATAATGCTGTTTGTGCCACAGGTGACTAACCAGGTGACAAGGGACAGTGGCACTGGCCCCTTGAAGCCAGCCCTCGGCCGCTCCTGGAGCTTCGTACCTAGCACCCGGGTGCTGCTGGAGAGCAAGGAGGTGGCCTGGGAGAAGGGCGGCATGCAGCGTGTTGCCTCCCTTGCAAAATCGCCCCGGCAGGTGAGACCAGCCCCTCTGGCAATGGGGAAGAAGTCACGGGGAAGGTGGTTGGAACTAGGCTCAGACCAGAGGGAGGCTGGAGGTTCCTTGTGGTGCTGAGGCAGGATGAGCCTCACTGTGTGACCTCTTGTAGTGGAGGAGGAGGAGATGCTACCTAGTTGTATCCTGTTCAAGAAAAGAGCATCTGTTCCTAGAAGCCTGAACTTCTATTTTTAGATATGTTAAATGAGTGGCTCTACATGGTGCAATCTAGGTCACCATGTTCATTTTGCTCGTCTTAATCTCTCCTGATTGCATATGGACAGCAAAGATCATGTGGTGCTCACTGCAAGGCCTGCATTGGTGACATTGACTTTGACTTGAATTCTGCCTGCGTATTGGGGCAGCTCTGCATAAACCAGCATCCTACTGGTAGCCTGTTCTGCATCCTGATCCAAAGGGCTTTGGATGTGGCTGCATGCTGGGCAGTGAAACATGTTCCGGATGTGTTAAATTGTGTATCTGGGGACGTCTAAGAGCAAGTTGTTCTTTCTCTGCTAAATTGCATTCTCTATTTGTATCTTTGCATGTTCAGCAGGCCCAGTTAAAATTAGGGCAGCAGCAGAAATCTTTAATGGGATATAATCAGGAATTTTTTTTCTTGCCTCTGGGGCAGGCAATGAAGCAATGGCAATGTGCAGGTTTGCTTTTAGATTTCCAGTAGCATGTGGTTAAATTCCTTTCTCATTCTCTTTGCAGCCAACAGGGATCCAGGTGCAACTGGATATTGGGAATAGTAATGGACAAGGCGGGAGCCCAGCAACAACCACACAGGGGATGTGATGCAGGTGGAAAAGCAAATATTAAGGTCCAAGATAGCTGCAAGAAGAGTTTGCCAGCACACTGCAGGTTTCAAATGGACTCCGTGGTCTGGATGAGGTGAGGGGGAGGTCCAGCAGCCCTGGAAGGACCAAGAGGAAGAAGCTGTTCTCTGCTGGGGAGAAAATGAATTGAGGAGGTCCTGGGGGTCCTAGCCCAGCATGTGCAGCCTGCTCGGTGGCAGTGTTGCCAGTGCTGGTGCAGGTTCATCTCTCATCATCACAGGTGGCTCTGAGGAGTTAGTGTGAGACCATCTGGCTGCTCACTGTGTAAACCTGAGACTCCTTGGGACTCAGGGAGAGTTTTGTTCCTCCATAACTTGCTGTTTTCTCAGTGTTCTGACCTTACTTGGGCCATCCCATAGGGGTTTTGAATGAGGAAGAGCGTGCTGTTGCAGTTGTCAAGAGTTGGAATTCGATTAATGACTTCTACTGTGTCTTAATTAAACTTTTTAAGGGCAGTGTTGTCTTAATCTGTTTATTCCCTAACAGGACAGCAGTGGGACAGGCTGCTGCTGAGAAAGGGCATAATCAGTTGTTTGATCTAACCTTCTCTCTGAGGTGCTGCTGGGGGCCTTGTCGGCTGATGCCGGTAACTGCAGGGAGCACTGCAGTTAACTGTGAGCAAAGGCTGTGACGGGCTGGATCAGCTGAGGTGCTTGTGGACATCAGGTGGCTTGGCTGATGCCTAAGTACCTACTCAGTTCCATGTGCCAGTGTTTAAAATGATTCTTTCTTGTCCCACGGGCTTTTCTCTGCTCTTGGCACCCCCTCAAGGAGATAGGAGGCTGGGATGGAGCTTGGTCTCTCAATCCAGAAGCTGCCCCTGGCACCTCAGTGTTGGGGCACTGGGCTGGAGCCACCTGTGGTAGCACCTTGTGTTGGGCCAGCTCAGTTGCAGAGTTGGGAGCTGCTGCCTGTGCCTGGAGGGGACGGAGAGGTGGTGAAAGAGCTGCTGCTCGTGCAGCAGAGACACGTCCAGACCCTTGTGCTTTGCAAGATGCACCAAGATTTGGCAACAGAGCCCAGTTAGAGTTTGCACCTCTGAGGCTGTTGCATGTTGTCACAGCTGGGTCTGTTTATGTTCTAGGTTTCCAGGAGGCAGCACTAAAGGACTTTTTGTGCCTCCATCAGAACTGTGCTCCTTGCAAACCTATTCTGTCACTTCGCAGCCTGGTAGTTCCCTCCTAATGTGACTACCCAGTGTTTTGGTCCCCTGTGCAGGTGGCTGTGGCACAGAACATGCTCCTGGTGTTTTCCTGTCCTCCAGCAGAACCTGCTAGCACAAACTGAGACATGTCATTAAACATTAAGAGCCATGTTATAGAGACATGTCTTTAAAATACATTTGGTGTTTAATGTCATCTGTATATTTGCATTTCTGGGAGTCCCAGGCTGCTGAAGCAGGGTGAGGGTGGGAGCCTGGTTCAGCCATGGGAGATTGCAGCTCATCTGCAGGGGCTGAGGAGGAGGAGGGGTTCCTGCTGCTCCTGGGGACTGTGCAGCTTCTTCTGCCTCTTGACAAAGTTGCATGATGTGTTGGGTCACCAGCTCTGTGCTGCAGGTTTCTCACTGTCAGATGTTCTTGCTCTAGGGGGAAAGCTGCCCTTGTGGGGAGCACTGAGCCTGGGGAAAAGCTGGCTATAAAGTTGGTTACTTGAGCACAAGAGGTTTTCTCAGAGTCCCCTTCCTGTAGCTAGCAGCAGCACGTAAATAGGAAGCTGCTGCTTTGAGCCCTGAGTCCCAAAGGGCTCCACACAGACACTGGCTGCCTGTTCTGAGCTTGTCTGCATGGACAGCAGGGCTGCCCCACAGACCCACGGTCTGCATGACCCACGCGTGTCAGTGCTGCAGCGCTGCCGCGAGGGGGACCCGAACCCGCGGCCTCGCCCTCCGCCCTGCCGGGAGGGGAGACGGCGGCTTGGGCCGGCCCGCGCCGGCCCGGCCCGGCGCCCTTCGCCTCGCGCCTCGGCGCCACCACCCCGTCAGGCGCTGC